AGGGGGGGGGAGCATAAGGTAGAGGATGAGAGAGTGAGCAAGCAAGTGAAGGAGACGGAAGAGATCGATGACACATAACCTTTAGCTGCAGTGTGTAATGGGTGTGACCATGTTAATGTGTGGGTTCGTTCTCCCCCCAGTGTCACAGTGGTTGTCACCCTTTAATGTCTCATTCCACAGCCTCTTTGTTTCTGGATAAATTAAAGCTGATGAGCGGAAGGTTACATCTGGTATTATGCTTTAAAGATACTATAAGTATCATACACGTGCATGGTATTTAGGCTGAATGTTGTTTCTGTTTGAGAAAGCAACTTGATCTGGATTCCCCCCCACACGCACACACAAAATGACTGTCATCAGCTTTATATACATATGGTCCAATTAGAGATGCATATATGGCTCAAAGACTGACACTAACCTCCCTCTCACTCATTCTGTCTTTCCGGCTTGCTATTGCAAGAAAAAACATATTGGATGCATGAATTGAAAATATGCACGGAAGTGACTCCAAGATGACAGCCTCTTCCATCTGGTAGTTCCTGTGAAGCAAATATGATAGTACCTCATCATTAGGGCTTTACATTAATTATTTTTTTCCTGTCGTCTTTCCTCTAGGATCGTAAGCTGTCAAAAGTGGAACGTCAGCGCTTTAAGGAGGAAGCAGAGATGTTGAAGGGTCTTCAACATCCCAACATTGTTCGTTTCTATGACTTTTGGGAGTCGCCCGTTAAAGGGAAGAAGTGCATTGTTTTAGTAACAGAGCTCATGACGTCAGGAACACTAAAAACGTGAGTACTTATGAAGGCAGATAATCGTACAGACAACTTCTCTGACAAATAAGTGGTGGAAGAAAACATCAGTGAGAGGGGTCACACACTACAAGATCTTTCACTAGGAGTAATCCCAGAGACTGTCTCCAAACTATGTTTCATCAGGAGTCATCAATAACGTCATAAAAAAAAAAGCACATCATGTTTAATTAGGAAGGTGGTTTAAAAACATGCACACAAAGGGTAACCGTTAACAGCATACTGCCATTCGAAACAGAGTACAATTAGCTAATAATTGGCCTGATCAGCCAGCTAACTAACAGCAGTGAATGTCAAACAGCCATATCATACTTTAGCAATTACCTAGTTTCTATAGTGGTGACAAAACATTAAAAGATTATGCATATAATTATTTATAATTAAACTAAAAGCACCCTGCTCCAAACTCCCTTTAACAAATATTACAGATTAACAATTCCTAACGTGTCTATAAACACATGTAACTCTATAAACACAAGCTGACATTATATGTCAACTGTCTCCTTGTCAATCTGGCATCAATATAATCCATCCAAAGAAACTGTTTTCCATACAAATCTTGACTTTGACCTTACTTTGTGTTTTTACAGAAAATCCATTTTGAAACATATTTTGAAATATGATTGTCAGGTAATATGTTTCCCTCTCTTTCCTACAGCTATCTAAAGCGTTTCAAGGTAATGAAGCCCAAGGTGCTGAGGAGCTGGTGCAGACAGATCCTGAAAGGCCTTCACTTTCTCCACACCAGGACCCCTCCCATCATCCATAGAGACCTCAAATGTGATAACATCTTTATCACTGGACCTACAGGCTCGGTCAAGATTGGAGATTTAGGACTGGCGACACTCAAGGCGGCTTCCTTTGCTAAGAGCGTCATAGGTAGGAGACTTAAATGTAATGTGGCAGATTAATGGTTCTTAAGGTAAAGAAGTAAATGACATATCCATTGGACATTCTTCTCTGTTCAGGTACCCCAGAGTTCATGGCTCCAGAGATGTATGAAGAACACTACGATGAGGCTGTGGATGTCTACGCCTTCGGCATGTGTATGCTAGAGATGGCCACCTCAGAATACCCCTACTCTGAGTGTCAGAATGCTGCTCAGATATACCGCAAAGTCACTAGTGTGAGTCCAGATTCTGTTTCCAGTTTGTTTTAAAATGAGATATTTAAGGAAAATATTTGTCTTGCTGCAGATTTCCCATAGATAAGCTCAGTAGTCTGAAATGGTAACAGATAGAGATAAGTGAACTATAATAACCTTGTAGGAACAGCTGGGGCAATATACTAATAATTGCGCTATTATTGTACAGACAATACAGGTTACAAATACTCTCCTCATTCTCCTAGCCATACTGTGTAACTATAATTGTGTCTAAAATTACAACAGAACAAAACAAAAGAGCTTGTTGGTGCCCCAGTCGTCTAAAAGAGACCTTGCTTATAAGCATGCATTTTGTAATAATTCAAGGTCATGTTTAGTGAACCTGTAAGATGGGGCATACTAATGTCAGGCATGTTTGTGGCTTCTCCCCCACATAATAAGTCCAAGGAGTTTTTAATTGCAGAAATATATTTTTTTTCAACAGAGCAGGGTCTGCTCTGCTGTTTTCAGCTAGTTGGATCTTCAGCTTTGAATTTCTTGGGTGAAGAATCTAATGAGCCATATGGAGTCACAGAGGGAGCCCAAATCTCCTTTGTTTTTTAGATAAAGCCTAAAGGCTGTATTCCATTCCGTTTCAATGAGTGTCTCTCTGCTAGCAAAGCACAGCAAACTGTTTTTAGATTAGGGGGTGTCTGAAGTCATGATAGACTTCCTGATTTGATGAAGAGTATTGATTTTCCACTCTTGAGACATGGCAGGGTTGGAATCTGAGAGATGACTCTTTCACCTGCTGTTAAAGAAGAGAAGGCCTCTATGCCCATATTAATGGGTGGACAGCATCATTGCAACTGTCTCTAGATACTGTTCTCTGCATTGTTACTGTATGCATATTAGAGTGTCCTGCAGGGACTACTGCAGGATATTAATAGGAGATTGATCAAAGAGGAACCATGATAGTGTTATACTACTCCCTGAGCACATACAGCATGTAGCTGCATAATAGGGATGTTAATTCAGAGGATGCATATACATATATCTTTGGTGAGGAAAATGTCTATTTTCAAGAATTAATGATCTCACAATTTATGTCAACACCACAGATAATGCTGCACCATGGAGCACCAAAAATAGATCAGTAAAGAAGGTCAAACTGCTGAGCTAAGAAAATGCATTTATATAGTATTACCAAAGATTTCTTACTGTTGAATAAAGTATGAAAGGGTCTATAGAATTTTCTCAAACCACTCCTGTCACTGTAAATTCTCAGTCAAAACTACCATAGGAATCCAGGCCAACTGTGTCGTAATTGTAGTTTGTAGGTTCCACGATATGAAAGGAAAAATAAATTGCTATATGATACACAAGAAGTAGGAACTATCATTATTTCATCACAATTTTCACTGAAGAAAAACCATTATAATCATGATGGTATTTGTTGTGGTCTGTACCAAACAATCGTGTTTCTCACATCTGGAGTACGAGATTTTACCTTTATCAAAAATTTGCAGCTGCTGCGATTTGGCCATGTTTTGAAGATACTAAGATTAATTGTGCAGCCCTAGTTTACAAGCAAAACATCAGGAGCCAGGGCAGTGGTTTGAGAGATTTCTGTGGATGCTTTTTGGAATCCATTGCAACCCACATGGATTCAAGCTGATCGCAACTGCTGTACTCTGTCAAGGTTGACAAGCCTAGGGTGTGATTGTGTTATACTCAAAAGATAAGATTTGGGGTGGAGTATCACAAAAACATCCCCCAACTCTTTTTTTTTTCCCCCCTTTGTTTTTCCTTTTTTGATTATTTTTCATCAACACAGTGTCCTTTCATGGTGTGTACTCAGCATTTTGTTTGTATTTCCCTTTCCTCAGGGAGTGAAGCCAGCCAGCTACAACAAGGTCATGGATCCCGAAATCAAGGAGATTATTGGGGAGTGTATCTGCCAAAAGAAAGAGGAGCGGTGAGTGACTCCCCATCATTGTCCAGTGTCCAGCCAAAAGGGCCCACAAGGTGCCCTCTCATCTTTCATGCCTCGTCTCACCTCCCCCGCTTCATTGCTGTGGTGTTGACAGTTGGGCTCTCAGCAGCACTGAAGTCTCCCACCATATCTGCAGGATGTCTTTCATTTCTGTTACATAATGAGTTTATATACGGAGGGGAAAATAACCCTTAATTAGCTTCCAGGGGCATTTTTTTTTTTATGGAAGCATGATTGGTTTCTGTGAGTGACTTTGTCTCTGCAGCACATGTAATCCATGTATGATGTAATTAGCCAAGATGTCCTTTTACTATCAACACACCAGAATTTTTGTACCATTGGATTGCCTAGGTAGCCCAATGGTTACAGCGCATGACAACAATTCCTGTTTGATTCCATACGGCGACTTTAGTTGCATGTCATTCCATATGTTGTACCCTAGCTAACTATTATTGATGCTCAGGTTATCTGCGAACACTGTACAGTACAGATAGGTGGTATTGGGCGTCTTAAGCTTTGCTGTTCCTTCTCCCAGGTACACAATCAAGGACCTGTTGAACCATGCTTTCTTTGCTGAGGACACAGGTGTGCGGGTGGAGCTAGCTGAGGAGGATGATGGTAAAAAGGCCTCAATAGCCCTGAAACTGTGGGTGGAAGACCACAAGAAGTTAAAAGGGAAGTACAAGGAGAGTGGGGCCATCGAGTTCATGTTTGACCTGGAAAAGGAGGTCCCTGAGGTTGTGGCACAAGAGATGGTGAGTGAATAATTGCGAGTATAGTCAGTAAGAACTTGTTCATAAAAAAATATTTGAAGATTTTAAAGTCTTATGTACTTCTTTGTTTTACATTGTGCTGTCGACATAAAAAATATTTGACTGTTACCTAGAAACGGTTTGATCTTTTCAGAATCCTTTGCATAATTTCAATTTCAGTAATAAATTAGTTTTAACCCACGCTAGTGATGAGGTTTGTCATGTTTTGCATGTTTTTGTGGCTATGTATGTTCTAGCTGCAGGCAACACTCCTATCTCATCATCAGGGAATTCACTCAAATGCAGATTGCTGGTGATAACTTGCTCTGCTCTTCCAGGAATCAGTGATTGCTGTTTTTTTTTTTTTTTCCTTTTGTTTACATGGTTTTCTCCCGTTTGTCTTGGCCAGTTTGTTTTTATTGCAGGGCCTTACCTTATCTGATGGTGTTCACTGAAGAGTTCTCTGTGTGGAAGCCATGATAATACTGACCTCAAGCCTTTATCGCTCATCTACATTACACAGCACCATGAAATTATTTTTTGGGGTATGGGGGTAAGAGAGATGGAGTTAACACAGCTTGACTTCAGCTGGAGAATGTAAACATAATCATTGTCTGGCTTAACACACGTGAAAAAAACTAGAACGCAGTATTAGTAATACCAGAGAGACCCTATCTTCAGTGAGACATTCACAAGGAGGAGTATTTTCAAGATTCGGTGGGACTATTCAAAATGGCCTCAAACAAACTTGCTTTGAAACAGATTTACGCTAGGCCTATGTGTTGCATCAGAGCTGAAAAAAACATGTCATATGTTATCTGATATTGCACAAAGACATCTACTGTACCATATGTTCTTGTACATGTGAAAAAGAGTGAAAGACAGAGGTTTTAACAGTGTCTGTCTGCACAATAATCACTTTAGTAAGGTCCGTTCTCTTCCAAATATATATATATTTATATCACTGTCTCAGCCAACTGAGACAGTGAGCGAGAACCTGCTGTCCTCACCTTTTCTTTTTGTGTCTCTTGCTTTAACCAGTGTCTTCCTTTTCATTGTTACTCTCTCTCTCTCTCCCCCACACATCTCTTTCTCTTCTTCCTGTCTGCTCTTTCTCTCTCCGTATGCTCTTTTGGCCTTGACTGCCTCAGGCTGTGAAGCTGAGAAAAAAATTGAAGGCCTCTCTGTAACAATTGCCTCGGGGATGTGAGCAGACATGTGGACCAACATCACAATGAGATTGTATGGCCAGCATGCTCCCACTTCAAGTCACTCCTCTTTTACCCTAATGAGTCATTTCTGGTTTCCTTAGGAGCTCTGTAGTCAGTTTATACATGACTTTATGTTGTGTGTCCCCCTTTTAAAATTGTATTTTGTTTCTTCATGTACAACATTTGTTCTATGCATTGTCTGCATCTTTTTTATTTGCAGATTTAAGAGTCCTGACAGTTCTGTTGTTAACAATGAACCAAGCTGCTGACAAAGAGAATAGTTCCCCACTGCTCTGATCCCCCTTAAAATAGATTTTCTATTCCTTCTTTTTCTTGCTCTTTCTCTCTCCCTCACATGCTCCCCTTTTTAATGCACCCTCTCTTCTGTCACATGCTCTATGCTAAAAATATCCTGGAAGTCATGCTCTTCCCTTTCCTTTGTCAGGTGGAGTCTGGCTTCTTCCACGAGAGTGATGCTAAGACTGTGGGAAAGTCGATCAGGGACCGCGTGGCGCTGATCAAATGGAGAAGAGAGAGAACAGTGTCTGCTGCAGCTGCAGTGGATCAAGGTGAAGGGGGCCACCGGGTCCAGATGGCACCATCTCAGGGCATCTGTGCTGGGGCTGCACATGTAGGACAGCCTTTGTTGGAACCAGAAGACCCAGAGGCAGACCAGCACAACAGGCTGCGTAACCTACCAGCCAGTGCCACTTCAGTGACATGTAAGAGATTCTGTTCCTCAGCTGAGAAACACACATGAACTTAATCTTTGACTTTTTTATGACTGCATGATTTGTGTCTCTGCAGCAGACAGCACACTCGACAGTGGCATGGGCTCCACTGTGTACTCAGACTCCCACAGCAGCCAGCAGAGTGTCCTCTACCAGTCCCTGCTAGAGCCTATTACTATGGCAACACAGCAGGTCTGTATCAGGAGCATACACACCCAGGTGGACCATGTGCATTCAAAATACACACACTGTTTGAAAGCAGTCATTGCTCACGTGGCCTCGGAACAGAACACAGGCGCTGTAATCCACATTTGTGGACATGTGCAGATCCGCTTTCATTAACACAGTCATGCGCATTACATACACAAATATTTGTGATACATTCATGTATTATTGCAAGCTTGTTTGTCCTCATCTTATCATATAGTTCTTTGTTTTGGTTATGATCTCTTTATTTTGAGTAACATGTGATTTGCTTTTGGGTTGCTCCTCTATCAGTGCCAGATCACTGGCCCTCTTCTGACAGATCGACCTCACTCCTGTGGAAAGGGTGAAGTATGGGGGGCAACGCTGAGCCCAAAGCTCAGGACTCGTTTGGGAGCTGCAGCCCGGAGAGGAAGTGCCCCTGTTATTGACACTCAGAGGGCGAACCACATTGCTCATCTCCATGCCCTCATTCAGTCTCAGAGATCAATCAGTCCAACCCCCACAGTACCAGAAAACCAGTCAGAACTCAGCCCCTCTGGGCTTCACTCAGAGGCTAAGGATGGGTCCCCCTCCCAGAATACTCTGCCACTGCTGCAGGTCTCCCCTGTCTCTCCACCTTCTGAGTACCGCCGCCTCAGTGACACCAACATCAGGCTGTCATCAGAGGCCACCTCTGAAAACTTAACACTGCCTGTGCAAAGTGGACGCAGACACTCGGACCTTAGTAGTCTTCTGAGTCTAAACTCTCATCATAACCACCATTTTGCAATGCATAGAAACCATACATGCCAGGCCTGCCTCTCTTTGCTTCTTCTGAGATCACGAGAAGGGAGCCACCACCGTCCTTCTGTTTTCATGCCAACGCACCTCTGTCCATGTGACTTTAGACACCACCAGTCCTCTGGTGGAACAATGCACACCTATGGACGGCTGAAAGGTTCAAATGATTGTTCTGATTTCTCACTGCTTCAGCAGTCACTAATCAATATAATCAGCCGCAAAGCAGCACCTTGTCACGCCACACCCACCCAAGCCTCCCAGCTGCACTCCTCAGCTGTGCACAGGCCTGCCTGCAGTGATGGAGACAGCAGCCTGAAGAGTCATCTCCCAAGTGGCAGTTTGGTTGGGGGCCAAGAACCCCTCTGGGACTGCAAGGATAGATTCTGTGCCGGAGAACAGCAAGTTACCAGGGCTATGGGAGTGGTAGGTCACAATAGCAGAGAAGTTGCTTTAGTTTCCCGTGTTGGGCCACCTGCTTAACTGATTTCTCCCAGCCTGTAGGAAGTACAGCATTATTCTGCATGGAGCGGGTCTGATCTCCCAGCTACTGTCTGAGTCCTTCTTCCTGCGTAGCCCTACAGAGCTGACCATCCTCTTAAAAATCAGAAGCTTGCTCCTGTCAGAGAACAACTGTGCAATCTCTAACAGACAACGTTTCCCTGCTGATTAACTTTAATCAATCCCTTCTAGAACTGGCCTTGATTTTAACAGTTTTGCCCTTTCTTTTTTCTTTTCTGCATTCTGCCTGAATGCTACAACTGTCTTGCTCCTTAGCTTGCCTTGGATAGATGGCCACTGACTGAAGGAGAAAGGGTGGCTGTCTGATCTCCCTCCTCTCAGTCTCTCCTACCATTTCTCCCTTGCGTCCTTTTTTTAGCACACACCTGTCACCGCCTGCTCATTGTTGAAACAGATGTTTCATTAACTTATTTTTATCTCTCATCCTCTCATTATACTTGAATCCGGTATGAGTTAATGTAATTGTCACACATATTAGCTTTTGTGGGATTTTATTCCTGAACAGTAAAATTCTCTCCCAAAAGGGTCTAATTTTAATTTCCTTCCTTTGTGTCCTCAGGCCAGTTCGGCAGGTCACCAGAATCAACCATCTGTCCAGGGCCTGCCCTCTTCCAGCACAGCAGTACACACACCACTGCATTACCACCAGCCTGGACACAGCTACCCTGCTCCTCCATATCCTGGGCAACACAGTGCTGCAACACCAGCTCCAGCTAGTCTGTGTTCAGCTCACATTCAGCATACGGTCAGTGGTGCTAGCTACACACCTCCCAATGTGCAACAGACCCAAGGTGCACCAAGTATTTCAGCATCAGCTGTGCCACAACATGTTGCACAGAGCTACCAAGCACCAGGCCACCAACAGCAGCAGGCAACCGCAGCAAGCTCTTTGACTTTTCCTTTGAAAGTCCAACAGAGTTGTCAGAACTGTGCAGCCCAAACTCATCAACAGGCTCACACTGCATCAGGATATCCTACTTCAGTTCAGCAACAGACTGCTGCAGCAGCAACCACCCTGCCAGCCCAGCAGCCAGCACAAAGTTACCCCCTTGCATCTGTAGCGCCGACTATGGCAGCCACAGCCCAGTGTCATCCTGCACAAGCTCCCAGTGCACTGCAACAGGTCCAAGCCGCAGTCAATCTGCAAAGTCAGCAGCCTGGTCAGAGCTCCTCCACACCAGCACTTTATAGCCAACAGATACCTATTCAGCAAGAGCACCAACAGCCCTTACTGCAAAATACTCAGTCCAGTATACAGCTAACACAACATGCTGGGCAGGCTTATATTCAGCCTCAACTCCAGCCTGGTCAAGAAACTCTGCATAGCATACACCAACAAATGGCACAACAGCCTACCCACCACTCTCAAAGTCTTCAGTCTTCTGGTCAGCAACAAGTACACACCCCAACTCTGCAGAAGCACAGTCAGAAAACCATGCAGCCAGCAGTTCGACAACAGAGCCAGGATGTATCCCAGTCTACAATTCAACAGGTTCAGACCCCACCTTGTCAGCCTCATCCAACAGCTGCCCCAGTTGTGCAGGTTGCAGCCACACACCAGAGTTACTCTGCTGCAGGTCTACCTGATGCTGCCTCTCAGAGCTATGCACATTCTTCCCTCAGTGTGCTGCAGCAACAGACTGCTTCAGCTCAGAGCCAGTACCTGCCTGCACAGTCTACAGCTGCTTCACAGGTCTATGGAGGAGCTAACCATGTAGTTACTCCTCAGAGCCTTTCAGCCTCTTCTCAGCATATCCAAGCTGCACACATCACCCAACAGGTGAGTGAACAGTGTTGATGATCACTATTTAGTATGTTGTAGCAAGGTGGCATACATAGTGCCCCAGTTTTGTTTGTTTTCCCTCCTCTGACCTCGCCCTGTTTTCATTTTTCATCAGTTTCAACCCTATCTTTGCATCGCTGCTTTCCTGAATCAGGTAGAACGCCTTTGTCTCAACACACTTTGTCACTATGGGACTCAATGTGGGAGGGACAGAAACGGATCTAGTTAATGCTAGTTTTGTAGCTACTTATATTATGGTGTCTGGTTTTGATTTGGTGCAGCTGTATTGGAAACAGCTGTGTTGGTGGTGATAGTACGTGAATGAAAAAATGAACAGCCCAATAAACAGGCATTTCCTCGGACAACAGCCAACAGAGAAATAATTGAACAGTAATGAAAACAATAGCAGTGGTTTTAGCCGCTGCATCCGCCAGCACCCCTAGGCTTGCTCTGTGTCCGTGATACACAGTGCTCCTGTATGTGCAGCAGATTCAGACTGATTCCAGGCTTAGGGACAGGATGGAAAATATGAGCTATTCTGATCTGGGTCAATAGCAGGAAATGCAGATTTCCAAACACAGAGATGAAACTGGAATCCTTGCCATTATTGAACTTCCTCCCTCTTTTTTTCCCCTCTTTTTCTTCTTCTTCGTCTGTAGAATGTTCCTACTGGTCAAAACATTTCACAGCTTGGACAAGATGGACAGGGACATGGGCAGAATCTCAGCCAATCAACTTCAAGTGTTGCAGCCCAGGCACTACCTCCTCAACAGTCAATGGCTCAGGCTGTCCACCAACAACTCCAACCTCTGCAGATCGCAAACTCTCTACCGCCAACACACCCATCCCAGGTATTGTCACTCTGGTCTCCGAGCTATTGTATGTTTTTTCTTGGATTATACACACCATTAACAATATAGACTTGAAGCAAGTTATCTTTATGCATCTTATTCCTATGTTTGAACTTTGTTCTCTAGATTATTTCATTTTTCTCTGTTCCTTTCCTTTTTTTCTTTTCCCCTTCAGTTTCCTTCACAGTATCCCACAGTCCAGGTGATGACAGCTGTGACTGACTGTGAATCCTCCTACCCTCACTCCTGCACTGCCCCTCACCCTTCAACCTCCTCTTCTCTTAATCCTATTTTCCTTTCTCCTGCTCACAATGTTCCTGTGACCCCCTCTGTGTCCCCCCTTTCTCCTCTGCACATTGAAAACGCATTAGTTTCACCCATCCCAGTGTCCCTCATGCCTTCCCCCTCACCTGTGCTGGGCAAGGTTGGACCCACATCCCCACAGCACCAGCCCACCGTTGGTCTGCAGCAGAGTGTTAGATCTGAAGTTTCTCATTCACAGCCTGCATTCATAACAGCACTAACCACCCATCCCATACACGCACACACTGCCCAGTCCCAGAACACACACCCTCCCACAAATGGCAGCACTCAGCCTCTGATACAGGTAATTATGATGGCTGCAATGGAGTGCAGATGTTTACCAAGAGGGTGTGAACTGGAACCTTTGATTGTGATAATCTCTTTGCATCACAAAAAAGTGCTTTTCACTGTACTGTTGTTCTTTGGCTGAAGGAAAATGAACATTTATGTCTTATGCTGTAAATAATGCGGATTGAAAAACTCAAATCTTTGTTAATAATTAATTTTATACATAGATACAAATTCTGTATTTTATTTGTGGATGAATTGTTATCAAGAAACAGCAAAATGTCTACAACAGATTATTATTATTATTATTAATGAAGATGATGATGTTTTATCTCGTTTGTCCTTTACAGCAGCTTCCCCAGCAGGCCCAAATCATCCATCCTGAGCTTGTCCCTTCAGCTCAGCTTGCCCAACCTGCAGTCTTCTCCTCACCTGTGCACAGTGGGTCAGACCCGGGCACAGCTACCGCTGCTGCCCAGCTGGATAGCAAGAACCCATGCCAGCTGCCCCCACAAGCCCAGTGCCAGACTCAGGTTCAGAGCCAGATTCCTGTGCTGCAGCCCTCTGACTCTCAGCGAGCATCATCTGCGTCTGCCAGTTCCAGTCTGACTCAGCAGAAACCGCTCAGTACTCTCACTGGAGCTGCAGGTCAGGGTCTAACAGAGACCAGCACGGAGGTATGGAATGACTCACTTCCACACTTTTAAGTTCTCACTACTTATTTCTTCCTCTGTCCACCTTTCTTTGCCAATATATCCAGTGCACTCACATGCAGTATTACTCGACTTCCTCTCAAGTCACTGTCAGGAATGTAATCTAAAATTAAATACTTGATACATATTGCTCTCTTTTATTTACTCTCTCTGGTGAAATGTTTATGTTTTTCTTCTGTCTGTAGGATCAAGCTGCAGAAAAACACACTGGAGGACAGAGCTATGACAGGTACTAGCTTATTTGCAGCATATTCTTAGAATTACAGAGTAGTCTAGGCCAGCTCTCAGGTGCTGTCAAATGGACATTAATCTGTAGAGCAAAATGGCCTGATAAGCAGTGACATGAATGTTGACATAATGCATTTGGTCAGACTCAAGCATTAGAAATGTCATTGTTTTCACTGTTAGAGTAGCCACACCAATACTCAAGGTTTAAGTATTGTCATTTTACCACAACCTACATTTAATTGTAGACCCTTGTACAATGAAATGTTAGTTGTAGTTATGCTCCACACACATAAAACATATCTACAATTATTTAAATCAAAATAATTATTATAAATAATATATACAGTTACTTACTATACATCTATACTTATACACACATAACCAAGAAATGTATGTCCAGTATATGCAATGTCAGTATAAAGTTTCATGTCATTTATTTATGGTGGAGTGCGGAGGATGAGTTGAGTTGTCTCACAGCCTGAGGAAAGAAACTCCTCTGTAGTCTGGTGGTACAGCAGCAGATACTTCTGTATCACTTGCCCGAGGTTGTGGCAGTGCCATGTTAAAAGAATGCATAGAAGGACCTGAGGCAGACGTTGTTTACCTTTTAGAAAACATTGAGGATGATCCACCAATCCTCATAAATAATGTAACAACTCCCAACTACTGTAGCTAGCTGTTCCTCCGAAAGTAAAACAGCATCCCATTTGTTATACTGTATCATTTGTTGTGCAATGTGGACCTAGTGGGCAGCCATCTCTGCTAACTTTGTCTGGCAGTTTGTTCACCAAAGGACAACTCTCCAGCTAAACACAAACATGTCTTTAAAACCACATTGCACTCTGATGGAATCTGTTGATCTTTCTTATCCTTGTGACCAGCAGCAGCAGGTAAAAGTTCCGTTGTTCCTTCATAATAGATAGCAGATAGCTAATCCTCCACAAATCTATATCCCGTTTAAGCTTATGTGGAGTTTAGCGTCACCCATGGCTGGTATATCAGGTTTATATCAGACAAAATCCTAGAGGCATTCCAGAGCAGTGATACATTTTTGCAAAACCTTGTCACTGGGCTCCATGTTGAGGACGGGTGATAAAGACCATTGCCAATTCCAGAACAAGATTTCTGTCTATTGCACCTAAAAGATTGTATGACACTAGATATTGTTGTGTCTCAAATTCCACACTATTTCTCCCCTGTCTGTCCACTATCTTTTTTTGGGCATAACAGTTTTGAACATGTTTGGGCATATTTGTGTAGAGCTGTGTGTTCGGTATACAGGTATTCGTGAATAAAGTAATACTTGCTTACTATTACTTGCTTTTCCTCTCCAAAATCAGTGTCAACTCTGATGCCACGTCAGGGAAGGAGATGAGTGACGGTTACGAAGGGACACATGGAGGTAAAGGCGAAGGGAAAGTTCGCAAACACCACCGGAGGTCCACGCGCACTCGTTCTCGGCAAGAGAAGATCAGCAGGCCAAAACTCAACATGCTCAATGTGGGTAGACAAAATATATTTCAAACCAGAAACTTGTTCCTTTAAGCCCATGTTCACAAAGAATGTAATACTAGACAATGTATTTATTGTGTCCACTCTGGTTGCAGGTGTGTAACACTGGCGATAAGATGGTAGAGTGTCAGTTAGAAACTCATAACCATAAAATGGTCACTTTCAAGTTTGATCTGGATGGAGATGCACCAGAGGAGATTGCTACATACATGGTATGTAGAAGTCACTGCCACTTCAGCATGCTGTAAACTGTGGATTGCCTGAAATGCTTTGTTATGGCTCAGAACTCTGAAACTCCCTATGTTGCTGTTCTCAGCTGCAATGCAGCAAAAAATCTATGTCTCTCTCTTGCTCCTACTCTCACACTCATCCACTCCCAACCAATTCATATTCGGCTTATATTTATAGATGGATAGATTAATATTTATGGCATAACTGCTCCACCAACTTATTGTGTTAAAATCGGTGGTCCAAGGCAAATACCTACATACCAAATACCGCATGCATGCATACATACATACATGCATACATGCATACATGCATGCATACATGCACATATACATATACATACTTAAGAAACGTAACAAATTATGCAAAAGTAGATTTTCTTAGACCTTAATTTGAATTGCTTTATCTTGGCAGCAACTTCTAAAGATCCTTTAATGTCATGTTGCCCTTTTCTCCATTGTGTCCCTCAGGTGGAGAATGATTTCATTCTGCCTTTAGAAAAAGAAGTGTTCATCGAGCAGCTGAAGGACATTGTGGACAAGGCTGAGGACATGCTGAGTGAGGACACTGAGGGTGAGAGGAACTCTGACCAGGGAGGCAGTCCCAAACAGAGTGAAGGAGGTGGCACACTGGGAGCAGAGGTGAGAAAGAAACTGTTGACAGTTAATAGTTGCAATGTCTCTGAATGGCTCTGCCTTGGATACATCATCCTGACAGCACTCTCAAGATGACTTTGCATGCAACAGCGCCAAGAAGAGCTGGCCAAAAATACCATTCTTGCTGATGTAACATTTTGATCTAACTGAATTTATTTCTGAGGTTCAGCTCTTTGGCTGGTTGGAGAAGCTTTTTAAATATCTATTAAAGTGATGTGCATGTAATCCTTCGTTTTCTTTAGGGATTGAAGGCTTCCGCACCCAGCACCCCACAGCTGGTGTACCAGCAAAATGGTAAGACTTGCCACCTGGAACTTAAATATTCACTGTAACAAAATCCACTCACACAGCTCAGTTCTAGTTCAACTCAGCTACTTCCCTGTATATTTGCATTCTTAAGAGACCTGTTATGGTGAGGTTGAAATGAGGATGAATTACATTATAATCTGTTTGTGTTGTCCCGTTCTCTATTTTGCTTTTAAAGTTGTCAGCCTGTGTCTTTAGCACTTCTATTAAATTGATTTTATAGTAGATGTGGATTTATGAGTTTTTCTGTCTCTCTTTCCTTGGCAGTCCTCCACACTGGAAAGCGCTGGTTTATCATCTGCCCTGTGGCTGAGACGCCTATGTTAGACAAAGAGAAGACTACATCTCACACTTCTACAGCCCAGGGTATGCTGCACACTCAGAGAGTGTCATTAATGCTTCCTTCAAGTCTTCAGGTTTACTACTTACTAAATGAAATATGCTTTCTCTGCCAGGAGTATGTTGTCTATAGAATAAAGTGAATCGTTGTGTCTTACTTGCTGCTCTTGATAGTGAAGCCGCTGCTCATGCATTAGGGTTGGGGTCAGTTATATAAGAGTGCTTCTGCAGTGTTTCTAGGCAGAAATGAAGGGCAGGATTTATACTCCAGCTGACAGAGCCTGATGGGGCAAGACAAGCAGTGATGTAACACTCTTGCACCCACAGGACCCAGCTCCTTGTCTTCATGGCCTTGGCTGAACTGAGAACAGGCTCCCAATCTGTTCTCCTCCTAATTAACCTTTTTTGTTTTTCTCCAGAATCTGAAAAGTCGGCTTCATCATTAATCAGGCCCACCAGCCACGCAGCCTCATCTTTATCCTCCCAAAGTCCGTCCTCCTCCTCCTCTGTGCCCCCTGTAGCTCAGACCTCTGTGCAACCTCAAGACCAAAACATTGACAAAGCCCGGATCCAGCAGCCTCAGCCCTGTGTAACTAAACATGCCCTTGGTGCTGCTGGTGCCAGCCATCCCAACTGCCTTCCTGTGGAGGAGCCTTGCATCTCTGCCGTCTCTATGGTAACGGACATGCCATGCTGCGCTATTGTGCCACCTGTCTCTCTGGATGTGAATGCTATTGATAAAGGAGCAGCTGGTGGTTTGACCACCTCTCAAACTAATCAGCTAAATCAGAAGTCCAGTCCTACTGGAGAACTACCCCCTCAGCTGGCCTCCCATCAGTCTGTGGTTCTGCAGCAACCCTATGCCACGCCCATGCAGCCTGGGACAGTCACCTCCCAGCCCCAGAGTCCAGCACATCAGACCCCCCAGAACTCCCAGTCCTCAAGCCACCAGCAACCAGTGAGTGGGGGGCCAGGAGAGTCAGACGGCGAAGGGCCACGCAGGGTAGAGTTTGTTGACCGCACCATCAAGACTTTGGATGAGAAGCTGAGAAACCTGTTGTACCAGGAGCATGCTCCCTCCCAAACTTCCAGCGCTGCGTCCGACCCCCAGGCCTCCAGTACAGAGGGAGTCAGCTCACCCCCAGTCTCAGATGGCCAGAGTACTGAGGGAGCACTTACGAAGAAGAAAGCGGAACCACTGGTAAAATGATAGAAAGTGTGTGTGCGCTTGTTTGTGTAAAAGAGAAATCTGAGCATTCGGATATTGGTTACGAGATAAGTTAATGGCAGCATCATTGAATTGTTTCCCTGCACTGTTATTGATTTCACTATTGGCTGTAAAGAGCAAGACCAATACTGTGTTAAAAAAGAGGGCAGGATAACAAAATGACTGCTGTCAGCACAATAATTCATCATGATCTCTTCCTTTTGCAGCTGCTGTGTGTGTGTGTGTGTCTTGGTGTGCATGCTTGCTACCAAAAACAAATTAAGGTCTGATTCATTCAGACAAAACGGAGGTCATGAGAGGATAATGGCTAGCCTTACCTCACTCATCTTACTCATCTTGCGCATCAAGCGATTTACCACTTGCCACAATTCAAAATGATTGTAACCTCCCACACACACACCCTTCTCTTTTTCTCTTTAAGCCTCAGATTCCTGAACGCACAGATAGTGTGGGTGCACTAAGTGACTCTGCAGTGGCAGGTAGGTAACATTATTTATGTAATGTCCATATCACTAAGGCTACATTCACACTGCA